CTCTCTCTCTCTCTCTCTCTCACTCACTCACTCACTCACCACAGGATGTGTTCATAGTATCGGTCGCGCGGACACCCATCGGCTCATTCCGGGGCTCTCTGTCCGCAATGACTGCCCCACAGTTGGGTTCGGTGGCCATCAGGGCTGCTATCGAGAGGGCCGGCATCGCACCCGAAAACGTGGACGAAGTGATCGTCGGTCACGTACTGAGCGCAGGCAATGGTCACCTGACGAGCATTCAGGCGGCCATAGAAGCCGGTCTACCGGCGAGCACAGCCTCCACTGGGATAAACAAGGCGTGCGCTTCAGGCATGAAAGCTATTATGTTGTCCGCAACGTCTATACGGGTGGGCGATAATGATGTGGTGGTGGCCGGAGGTATGGAATCCATGTCTAACACACCATATCTACTGCCGCGCGGAGAGTTGCCATACGGGGGCGCGACTCTCAAAGATGGTATACTTGTCGACGATTTAGACGACCCCTTCAGCGGCAAACACGCGGGCTATTTGGCCGATAAGGAGGCCGTCAAACAGGGCATAACCCGCGCGGCTCAGGACAAATACGCGGCCAACAGTTATCGTCGCAGCGCTCGGGCGGCCGACGAAGGCCTAACGGCCAAAGAGATAGTGCCGGTGACTGTCGCCGGAAAACGTGGTAAACCAGGCGTTACGGTCATCGACGACGAGGAATATAAGAAAATAAATATCGATCGCATGCCATCGTTGGCGCCGGTGTTCGTAAAGGACGGCACGGGAACTGTTACGGCCGCCAACGCCAGTACGCTCAACGACGGCGCCGCCGCGGCTGTACTCATGTCGGGCGCAGCCGTCAGGAAGTTTGGTGTCAGACCGTTGGCCAAAGTGATCGCTTACGCCGACGCGGCTGTAGAACCGGAAGGCTTTACCAGAGCCCCGGCCTTAGCCATACCCAAGGTATGTTTTAATTAAACATTAACTAAAATTCAATGATAATGTTCCCATACTTTCACTCTGGTATTGATTGTTACGGCACAGGTGTTGGCGAAGGCAGGTCTGGACAAGTCTGAGATCGCGCACTGGGAGATCAATGAGGCGTTTAGTAACGTTCCCTTACTTTGCATTAAACTCCTGGGTTTAGACCCCGAAAGAGTGAATCCGAATGGCGGCGCCGTATCTCTCGGCCACCCTTTAGGGTATGCTTTGATTTTCTTTTGAGACATTTATGAATTGCAAAACATATTTTTAAATTCAAAATGTCTTGTTTGTCACCACCAGCTGTTCCGGCGCTCGTATTGTCAACCATTTGGCGCTACACCTGAAGCCCAATGAGTACGGATTGGCAGCCATTTGTAACGGCGGTGGCGGCGCTTCCGCTATATTGATCCAGAAGTTATAATAATCAATGATTATTAATTATATATCAAATTAATTTACCTTTAATTTACCTATATGTTAAATAAAATAATATATATTAATTAATCATGATTATATTGTTGTACAATAACAAATAATTTAATTAATAATTACTAATTATGACCAAGAGGCAAGTCAAGTTTGGATTTCACTATCAAAATTCTACTAACAAGATTGTAAGTAGATTCTACCTAATAAAACTCACAGGCAATAATTGCCCTAGATACACGATTTGCCAAAATGTTTACTATTAATAATAAATTTAGTAATAGTAATCAAATATTGACCATAATGAGTCTAAAATATGCTTACAAGTTAAATTCTCATCGATTTCATTGATTCATAATTACTGTTTACAGTAAACCTATTATACATATTATTTATCATTTATTTTTACAATTCATGTTTAGTGTACAAAATCAAACACAACACGTGTTGAGATTTAAAAAATGTTGATTAATTATTAGGCTAATTGTGCATTAATTAAACACGCGAACATGCTAAAATTTATGAAAACAATCAATTCATCTAAATCCATATTTGTTACTACAAAGATTGACATCATGGGCAGTTTTGGCTCCACACATTTATTTGTACCTAATTTAACAATTTTTTAAAATTAATATAATATTATTTATTAGCTTAAATGACAGCTAATGTATTGATTGTGTAATTCTGTATTATTAATACAATTACTCAACAATTAATACAGAATATTCAACATTTATTAACATACTCTAACGGTAAGTGAAATAAATCTAGGTTTAAATTGCAAAACATTGTATAAATATTGCATAATTGTTTAATGATTTTACTATTTTCTAACTCGTAAAGGTAAGTCAGTGGTTAGCCTTGATATGAAGGATAGATTAGGGTAAAAGTAACTTTGATCAATTGTTCGAGATTGCATTTATTATAATTTATACATATTTTTCATTAGTATTGAAAATTTGTTATTATTATTAACTATAGAAAGTTTTATAATTTAAAGTAATTTAAGTGTCAATTTAAAAGCAATTCAATTGTTCAAAATTAATTAACAATGCTAAAAATAACCTAGGTAATATGCGTTTAAAGTTTAAACAATATACTTTAGATGTCATTGGAATTGATTGTAAACATTTTGCACATCAGATGTCCCTCTCATATACAGAGTATCGCAAAACGAGTTTGTTTTTCCCCATAAATGCCATCAAAATAAACCACTATTTGTATAGTATATACAGTCGACACCATTTATCCATTACCACCCGTTGTTTTACCCTAATCCTAAATAATCAACAAGGTAATTTAATAGCAATTAATTAACATAGCTCATACTATATGTAGTATAAACGATTAATTTCATATTTATTAATTAATCATTAATAGTGACATTGTTATACACTATGTTGGTTGGCGTTTACCATGTATTTTAGTGCCAACCAACACACAAAACGCCGATATGTTAGGTGCGAAAAACCAACATAGCCAATTTTATGCCTAATTTTACATTCATTGAATTCCAGTGTACGGGTAGTTTAACGTAGAGAGATTTCCTGTGAATTACATGAATATTTAATTAATTTGATATTAAATACTACCTGAAAATACTCATATGATAACAGATTTTAGTTAAACAGTATTTTCATATACTATTCATAGCATTAATATAACTGTATTTCTATTGAGATGTAATGTAAGACTTTAAGCCAAACACTTCCTCGTCGTATGTGTTATCTCTAGGAAGAAAACTGTGGGTTATTTTTGTGCCAATAATTTGCATACATGTAATTTTATTATAAGTGTATATTTGTGTGCATCGATCGCAACTTATTTCATAAAGGTAACTTTTTTGTTAGCAACAATTTTTTAACATTCAACATAAATTGTTTTACCATTTTCAGTTACAGTGTTGTGCCATAACTATACAATATTAACCGTTTGTATTAACACAACATTAAACTATGGCTTCAAATCAGGTATTATTATATTTGTTTCATTCACTTATACCACTGTATAACTAGTATAATACTAATCACCCGCCCATTCCCTCCCTCTCAACCCCCACTCCCTCTCCCAACAGGACGTGTTCATAGTAGCGGTCGCGCGGACACCGTTAGGCTCGTTCCGGGGCTCTCTGTCTGGGCTGACGGCCCCGCAGTTGGGTTCGGTGGCCATCAAAGGTGCCATCGAGAGGGCCGGCATCGCCGCCAAAGACGTGGATGAGGTCTTCTACGGCAACGTACTGACCGCCGGCTTGGGTCAGGCGCCGGCCAGACAGGCGGCGCTGGGGGCCGGCCTCCCGGTGAGCGTCCCGTGCACTACAGTCAACAAAGTGTGCGCCTCCGGCATGAAAGCCATCGCATTCGCCGCTCAGGCCATACGCCTGGGCGACGCCGATGTGGTGGTCGCGGGAGGCATGGAATCCATGTCCAACACACCGTACTATCAGTCCCGGGGCGACACCCCATACGGCGGCATCACTCTGGCTGACGGCATTGTGGTCGACGGCCTCACCGACGCCTACAGCCAAACGCATATGGGTTTGTGTACGGAAGCGTTGGCCGCCAAGTATGGCATCACTCGCGCGGCTCAGGACGAGTTCGCCGCCACCAGCTATAAGCGCAGCGCCCGGGCGGCCACCGCCGGCGCTTTCAAGGCCGAGATAGTGCCGGTGACTATTGCCGGCAAACGCGGCAAACCCGACGTCACCGTCACCGACGACGAAGAGTATAAGAAAGTTAATTTTGAGCGCATGTCGTCGTTGGCCGCCGTGTTCAAGAAGGACGGCACCGGCACTATCACCGCCGCCAACGCCAGTACCCTCAACGACGGCGCCGCAGCCGCTGTACTCATGTCCGCCGCGGCGGTGAAGAAGTTTGGCGTTAAACCGTTGGCCAAAGTGGTCGCGTACGCCGACGCCGGCGTAGAGCCCGCCGACTTTGGTATAGCGCCCGCGTATGCCGTCCCTAAGGTATGCCATAAATTACTATTACACTGGGGTTTAAGTGTTAGTTTAATTACTGTTATTTAAATGTCAACTCCTGTCCATCCCATCCAATGCACCACCACTTGTGTTAATGTGTTTACTGTTGGGGTAGGGGTTTGTGTGTGGACTGGGAGGGGGGCCGTAACGCCAGACGTTGAGTTCATTCAATCACTTCCACTAATGGATTGAATGGTAATTGAGTTCTGGTATAATAAATATGCAGAAAGTGTTTGTCTTCCAGTTATGCAATACATTCGTTGTGTAACCAAAAATTTCAAACACAAACACAATGCGAAAGTCAATGCAATGAAAAAAGCAATTAAAATTCAAATTAAAAACAATTTATACGCGATAAAAAAACGAATGATAAACCCTAATGGTTTTTCCCTTTCCCACTACCCTTATCTGTATGTATGGTATGCCTGTGCCTACCCGGTGTCCACCCCCTCCGCCGTCGCCCCTCACAACTCTATGGCACGTCTTATGGATGGATATATGACAGGTGTTGGCGAAGGCAGGTCTGGACAAGTCTCAGATCGCGCACTGGGAGTTCAACGAAGCGTTCAGCGCCGTTGGTTTAGCCAACGTTAAGCACCTGGAGTTGGACCCCGAAAAGGTGAACCCGAACGGCGGCGCCGTAGCCCTCGGCCACCCCTTAGGGTAAGTGTGAATTTTGTGTTTGTATTTGCTTTGATAGAAATGTCATTCATATGTCTCTATAATCTGTGTCTTGTTTGTCACCACCAGCTGTTCCGGCGCTCGTATTGTCAACGTTTTGGCGCTACACCTGAAGCCCAATGAGTACGGAATGGCAGCCATTTGTAACGGCGGTGGCGGCGCGTCCGCGATGTTGGTCCAGAAGTTATAATAAGTGCCATAAGATATACGCCATCGACAGACAGTCGAGGAATATATGTCTTAAATTAATTAATTAACTTTTTTTGTGAACAAAATTTATAGGTTTTTCTAATTGTGTTAACTTTTTTCATAAAAATGGGAATCTCTTTTGTATTGACAGATATATTATGCCAAATGTGTTTTGCAGTAGTTTTTTATAATGAAATATATTTTTATATAATATAACTTTTGATTATATGGTTGTTGTGTTTGTATTTGATTTTTTCATAAACAGGTGGTTTTGTTATCCGATTGTATTCAATAGAATTGTCTATTTTTATACCGATTCTTAAAATATTATGATATTAAATGAATTTTTAATTTTTTATAATTAAGTTTTTATTGATTTTTGTACAATATTTATGGAAAATATTAATTTATTTACCAGACAGTTATTACTTTTATTAATTACCACACATAATAGCTTGCAGTATTAATTAAGTAATTTAATTAATGCATAAAACCTTGTTGTTTAACACTTTTTAAAGGTGCAAGGTAACTGAGGTAAACCACCTCGAGTGCGAAACATCTGGTGACACCAGACTGGTGTAATAATAACCATAATGTTATTTATTATTAAACCTTTAATATTTTTGATGATATTAATAGTAATTAAATCATATATTTATTTCTTACCAGAAATTAGTATATATTTTGTGAATATATTGGGAATAATGTCAAGAATTTTATTTTAAATGATAGTCTATCGCTTCCAGTGAATCAATTTTAGATTAAAATTCAAAAGCTGTTTCACTTACAGTCAGAGTTGGGAAAAGTTTGAGTTAAAAAGATTTCCAGAATATGACTGAACCTCAAAAAAGCATACATTTTTAGTATCAAATTCAAGCACTTTTTGCTAGTCATTCAGAGTTGAGAAATGTTTGAGTTAAAATATTTCCAGAATATGACTGAATCTCAAAAAGCATTCATTTTTAGTGTGAAATTCAAACACTTTTTGCTATACATTCAGAGTTGAGGAAAGTTTGAGTTAAAAATATTTCCAGAATATGACTGAA